GACATATGAACCAAATACAATGTGTGAGAATTGCATTTGTGTACTGACTCAAACAAATCAAATTAAAAACATTGATCGGACAATTGGGAAGTTTGATTAGTGACTGGATATTTAGTGCTATTTAAGTGTTACATGGTTTTATGGCTGTATTTTTTTTTAAAATGATCCCATATCTCTTAGGGATAAATATTTAATTATTTACAGATGAAATGAGATGATGTCTTGGATTTACTTTAAAATAATCCATCGGTGTTTCAAGACTGCAGCTTGGAGTCTCTCTAGGTTTTCAAATATTTCTTCACAATTTGAACACTTGACAATTGTCCCTTTTAATTTATTTGCAGTGCTGTTTTTTAAAATAAAGGTTCACCTGTTCATGTAAAATAACATAATAATAATCCACTGGTAGTGATGGGGAGAGGGACAAGAGGAAATTGGGGGTGTAGATGAGTCAAGACTGGCCAGAAATTGGTAACAACTGAAGCTGGGTCACAGGCACATGGAGGTTCATTGTGCTTCTTTCTAATTTGTGTATATTTACAATTTTTCACAATAGAACCACAGTTAAAGGTTAGAAAGCAAGACTAGATGATGGTAAGCACTGGCCTGGAGATAGCAATATAGGACAAGGGAGAAAGCTTTGCTGGATGAGGCCGTGGAAAACGAGGAAGGAGAAAGGGAGAAAATGAAGAGACTGTCCCCAGACACTGTCGAGGGGGTAGCAGAGGGGTCCATGGAGAGAGGATGGGGAGTGGGAGGGGGAAAGAAAATCTGGTGGGTGTGCGCTGATGGTGAGGGGTCAGAGTAGCTAGGAGGAGATGGTATTTTCATAGGAAAAAAAGGAAGCTTGGAGTCAGTGGAGAAGGGGACCTACCTCCATCAGATGGATAAACTCAAAATGGCCATTTCTTTGTGGTGGAGTCTGGGCCGCATCTGTAGCAGACACCTCAATTTCCTGGGGGCCGTGAAGCATCATTACCTCCTGTCTCATTTGTCAGTCTGTCCACAACGCTCCAGCCAAGGATCTTTGAAGCCAGGAGGGTGGTTGCAGCCACCCCGAGACGTGCAGAGCAACAGAAGAACTTGCTGGGCCCAGTAGCCAGTAGAATTCCTGATTGAGTTCGCACTGTGGGCACAGCCAGCTGGAGGCCCTGGAGCAATACACAGCATGAGGACACACCAGCCATAGCCCTGGAGACGTTTCCATTGTGGCCATTCTAGAAGAGAATCTCTCTTCTTGCTGCTGGGAGAGAGAAATAGATTGTTGAGTGTTTCCTACACCATGTGTCCAAAGCTACCTTCCCCTCCCACCATCTACAAAGTGAGTCACATGCCAGGTCACCAGGATGGGTCTTCTAGGTATCGCTCTTCAAAATGTATTTTCCCCCAACAATGC